GCTGCGGTGCAGCGGCACGCAGGGTTCACGGAGCAGAGGCAGCGCGAGGACCTGCCATCCAGACCCTGTCCCCACGGCGCAGTCTGGAGACTGAGCGGCAGGGGAGGCGGGGGCGGGGTGGGGGGGTGGGCCCGGCCCGGCCCGGGAGCGGGGGTGGCCAGGGCAGGCCTCTCTGCACCTCGTGTCGCGGTTTTCCTTGCCTGGCGCCAGCTCCTGTGGTCTCCACACTGCGGTCTGACTCCCTCGCGGCGATGATCGCGTGGTGAGGGGAGGGAATTAGGTGCGTGACGCCGGGCGTGGCGCGGACCTGGTGCGGGGGGCCTCGGACCGGTGGCGAGCGGCCCCTTGGACTCCTCCTCACCAGCATTCTCTGCACACAACACACCGTTTCGAGGCTGGACTGCCTTTCTTCTAATTACTGTTTGGTGTTGAAGACACTATTTGAATCTCAGGGCTTGGGAACAGAAGCAGTCGGAGTCCGTGGCTCTCACTTACCTTCTGTGTTTTACTGAATTTAGCTGCGCGGAAATGTCACGGTGCGCCGCCGGCCCCGACCGTCCTGCGGCCTCGGGGTCTGGACTCCACAGGGTTCCGGTCCTCTCCCCTTCCAGGGGCTCCCCCTTGGTACAGCCCTGTCTTTCCCGCCCTTCTCCCTCACCGCACTTTCCATCGCCCGGATTTTTCTTCATTCTGAAATAGCTCACATCACTTCCTTGCCGGTTATTTGACAACGAGCTGTGGGCAGTTCAAATTCTGGAAGCGTTGCTGGGAGAAAAATAAAGCCTTTCCTTCTCGTGCTCCGTGTTTCTGAGGCAGGGGTTCCTGAGAGAGACAGGTGCTTGACTGGGAGGTATGCTGGCCTCTCACGCTGTACCTAGCAGGGTTATACCTGCGGGGGGCAGTAGTGGTTTTGAAAAGGAGACCTGAGCGGTGACGCTGGGCATAGACTTACACCAGAGAAGAAGGCCCGGCCAGGAAAATACAGGCAAGTGCAGGCAGAGGTGAGGGCAGTTTCTGCTTGAGAAGTACGTTCCAGGAAGACCCCTTCTTGGACGGAGTCCGAGCCCAGGGGTCTGGGGGCTACAGACGGAGACCCCAAGGAAGAAGGGGCGGTGTGGTGGAGAGGCTGACCCGTCTGCTTGAGCCCAAGTCCCGCGGGTCCCGCCCGGTGTGCGGCAGGCTGCGCCCCTCGTGGGCACCTGCCGTCTGAAGGCCTGTCCGCAGCCGCACCCGGCCCTTCCCCAGCGGTCCGAGTGCCGTGGAAACCGCTGCTCCTGGGCTGGGGAGCAGGGTGAGGGGGCTGTGCCCTGCTGGCCCACCCGAGTGCCCTCCATGCGATGGCTCCTCCGTCTGGGTGGCCCCGCACGCGCTCTGTCCTGCTTCAGCGCCCCCACAGAGGTGAAGCGTGAGGGGCTGCGTTTTATCCACGGCCACCGCAAACTGACCGTCGCCTCAGGGTCTGCTCGCTTGCTCTCCGCTCGGGGGAGCGGCGTCGGGAGCAGGGAGCTCTTCCCGGACGCCTCCGGTCTCCCTGTCACAGAGGCCGTGTTCCACATCCTGTAGGTAAAGGGACGCTTTCAGGACTCTTAGCAGCTTCCAGCCCCAGTAGCAGCTTCAGCCTATCCCTCGCCGGACCGCCCTGGACCCCACGGGAAGGGGGAGGCAGCGAGCGAGGGTGCTGGTGTTGGGTAAAGGGGACCCACGAGACGAGTGAGCGGAACCGACCAAGGAGCCCTGGTCTGCGACCCAGAACGTTTCAGGGACAGCACGGGGACCGGCTGACCTTAGCACAGTCTGTTTGCTTGCTTTGGAATGTGCTTTGTTTCCAAGGTAGCCTTATCGCCGTGTCTGACCACGTCTCACGGGAAGGGCTCTGGTTCTGGGTTTCTGATGTTAACCCTTAGCAGCTGTCTGTGCTCTCGGATCTGTCCCCGAGATCTGTGGAGCTGGTACTGGATTATCCTTTTCCTTTGTGTGAGCACAGTGGCCCTGGTGGCACTTCCGGCTTTGAGGCGCGTGGTGCTGTGTCCAGCCCTAGAACGTGTCGGTTACCGTTACTCCCGCTCGGGGTGTATAAAGTGACTCGCCCACGTACACCTGGTCCCGGTTTATGACCTTGTGGGAAGACGGTCGTGTCCAGGTGTGAACCGGGCGGGCTCTCGCTGTGGCTCATTGATTCCCTGGGCGCTGGACGGCTCACGGAGAGCTGGGTGCAAATATGCTTCAGTGTTTTCAAGGTTACGTGTGGAGTTTCTGACAGCGCTTGGCGGCATGTCGCCATCACCGCCACCTTCGGCCCGTCTGGCGCTGACCGCACTCCTGCAAAGGAAATTGCGTGTTTTCCAGCGCTTCACCCCTAAATGCCCTTTTCTCCAAAGAAGAGGCAAAAGGAGACTCTTCTGTGTGACCAGCAGCACCATCGCTGATCACGTCTAGAACGTGGAACAGTGGTCTCTTCGCACCCGTGGGCCGACCGCTCTGAAACCAGTAGCTGATTTCTCCAAACCAGAGTCTACTCTGTCATTGCATTGGCTGTCACATCTCTTTAGTGTCTGTTCTTCAGGAATAATACCCCCCACACCCCAGTTGTTTTCCGTGACATTGACTCTTTGAAGAGACTAGGACGGTCGTCTTGTGAGTGCCTTGTGTTCAGGATCTGTTTTGCACTGTGTCATTTAACTTGGCTCCCCGTGTGCTGTGATCTGGCGGGAAGAGGGTGGGAGTCGGGCAGCACGTTCTCCCAAGGGGGATGCCGCCTGCCGCGCCGTTCTCGGAGGCCGTCCTGCCACCGAGGCCGGCTTCCTTATGTTGTGTATTTTATCCGTGTCCCTCTCACCCGGGCATCCTGGGAAGAGGGGACAGACGCCGGGCCCTCTCCTTTTATCACCGCTCGTCAGGGGGGCAGACGGTCATACCTTCACCGTGGCAAACGCTTTTGTTTTTCCTTTTTCTGTTTTGAGTATCAGTGCAGACTGGTGGATTTTTATTTACTCATTGCATTAGAGGCTATTAACGTCTTCTGTGTTTCGGCGTTCACGTGGTGATAGCTGAGCAGCTGTGAGCCCCCGCGATGTGGCGCCTGCCCCTCACTCGGCATCTTTGTGAGAGCACCTCTCTGGCCCTTTCCTTCCCTCTCCCGACCTGCCATCAGCCACTGCTCCAAAGTGCTTTGCTCCCTGTTAGTGCAGAAAAGTGTTTAGAAGCCGAGACCTGGGTGTTGGATGTGTTCACTGTGTTTGTGCATGATTGCTGCTCTAAGCACCTGCCTCGTGGACAGAACTATGAAACGTTTTTTAAAACATTGTAAGATCGTCCTGAGTTTTTCAGTACAGATTTGAAATTATTTTAAAGTTTTACTTAATTTCTTTGATTTATATACATACTTTTTTTTTTTTTAATTATAGCGTGCGTGCACAGGCTTGTGGAGTGGGGAGGGGCAGATGGAGAGACAGAGAGAGAGAGAGAGAGAGAGAGAGAGAGAGAGAGAATGAGAATCCCAAGCAGACTCCATGCGCAGCCTGGGGCCCAGTGCGAGTCTCAGTCCCACAACCTGGGATCGTGACCTGAGGCGAAATTAAGAGTTGGACACTCAACCGACTGAGCTACCCAGGCGCCCCAAAAATCTTGATTCTTAATATCATTGGCATAATTACTTGTTTTATGGACAAGTATACATAAAATAGGGTGTGATGTTACAATACTGGGTTACTACTGACACTACTTAGCCGAGTTTAAGGTGCTTTCGCGTTTAAGATTTTAGTTTTAAGTAATCTCTATACCCAATGTGGGGCTCGAACTCACAACCCCGAGATCAAGAGTCCTGTGTTCTTCCAGCTGAGCCAGCCAGGCGCCCATAAGGTGCTTTTGTTTTTGAGGGTTTTCCTTTTGTTCTTAGTACGTATTAGTAATAAAACAGTGCGTTTTAAAACAAGCCTTCTTTTGTCTGTCATTATGTTGCTCGTTTGATACAAAAAATTCGGTTTGTTTGTTTCAGACGAGGAATTTTTAGATTTTATTTTTACGTTCAAAATAATTACACGGCTCAAAAGTCAAAATCCTGTGGAAGATATCAGAAATTTCACCCCGTTCCTGTTTCCTCTACTGTTTACAGGCAGTCATCTTTGTGTCTGCTTTATCCCGCAAAGCCAAGCATGTACACGTCTGTGTATAGCTCCCGGCTGGTCTTTCATAAAAGGTAGCAGGTACTCTTACACTGTGTGTGTGCCTCGCCATTTTATTCAGCACCTGTGAATGTGTCCGTCCTTCCCGACGGGTGTTTGAGTGGTGGTCCGGCCTCGGTAGGACGCTACAGTCACCAGCCTTGGCAGATGTTATTTTGTATTGGATGAGGGCTGTCTTTGGGGTCTGGTCCTGGCGGTGGGATTGCTGCGTCCAAGGATGTCACTGTAGCAGGGGTTCCCAGATTCCCTTCCAAGCGTGTGGTCCCCTGAAGGCTTGTCACAGCCTCGCAGACAGAGGGTGTGTCCTCACCCAGTCTTTGCCGGTCCGACCCAGTGAGACCTGGTATCTCGGAGTGGTGTTCGTTTAATATGCTTCGATGTGGCTGTGAGAAATGAAAAATACTAAAATGGCTGTTTGGCGCCCAGAGTGTCTGAGATCAGTAAACAGACGGCTGTGTTAGCAAGTGGCCCGGGGTGACAGCCGGGCAGCTCTGCCCCCCGGGCGCTGACTCTGCTCTGGACTTCAGCGCCGTGGAATTGGAAGGTGGTTTCTTTCGTCCCGTCGATAAAAGAACAGCAACTTCTCTGAGTCCGAGCACGTCCATACGTCTTACTTTTTCTAGCCTATGGAAAGGAACCTCTGAAGCTACCTTTTACTTTTTGGTATTTTTGTCTTTGAACCTAAGAAACGTACCGTAAGTTGAAGGAACTTTGGTTTTGGGGTGCATTCTTTCTGTCTCCCCCCGCCCTTCCATTGCTCTGGAAGTTGAGATTGCTGTCGCACCTTCCGAGGGGGCCATCACTTCCTTAATTGCTCGATGTTCAGTCAGCATCAGGTAGCCCCAGGGGCTGCAGAGACCTGGCACGGCCTCCTTTCGGGGCCCCGGGCTGCAAGCGGCGGCAGCCAACCGCGGACAGGGTGATGAAGTTTGTTCTAGAAGGATTCTGGGTTTGACACGTTGTCATTGGTCACCCTGTTTCTGTTTGCTGGAGAGTAGGGTCAGAACCATCCAGAGAAATCCTCTCCAGGGGTAGGTGGCAAAAACCTACTGGTCCTCTTTATCTATGCAGACTGATCAAAACTGCCACAGTAGCATAATCCTTTTGTGGTTTGAAAACCAAAGATAACACGCTTCTTTTTTTCCCCTTTAATTTGTACCAAAATAGTAGGAAAAGCTGATTTTCTTTAGTAGTAAGCTGCTAGATCAGATGACAGTGGTTTTCTTAAATTAGCAATATCGTTGCTACTTCTGATTATGAAATAATATGCACAAAATTAGTCAAGCAACAGAGGACTGTATAAAATAGAAAGTGAAAGCCTTTCATGATGACTGCAGTTAAGTTGCGTATCCCCTTGTAGACGTGTGTCTGTGTGGGCGCCCACTTGCACCCGGCACGGTCCTGGCCGACCTCCCGTGCGCCAGGAAGGCAGCCGTGGTGGGCACTGGGGGGCGGCTGCCGGGGCTGTGTGGGTGATTTCCAGAGTGTAAGTCTTGTGTCGTGAAGCATAAGACACGCGGACAAGTGCTCATCTCTGTGAATCGTCACCAGCTCGAGAGATGGACGCCACCCCCGTGCTCCCCAGTCCCAAAGTCCCTTGTTTTCCCGGCCTGTGCCACTGTCGTTCATATACGGGGGTCATGCGGTGCGTGTTCTGCTCACTGTCGTGGTTGCTGGATATTATGACAGTCTTTGTTGTCGTGGCTGTGGGCTATCCCACGCACGGATCTATCACAACATGTTATCTGCGGTCGGGAGCCACTTGCACCTCTGTGATTACTGCCACGAACGTTTTTGGATTTGTCCTTTGTTGCAGGTCTCCAGGCATCTTGTGGGCGTGACCCTGTGACTGGTCACACGATAGCGTGGGGGGCTGCAGTGTGTTCCAGGGTGGCTGGGCTTGCGTGTCCTAGTCCGGCCCCTGGCACTGTCGGCTCAGCGTGTGTGTGTGTGTGTGTGTGTGTGTGTGTGTGGCCGCTTTACAGGGTGTATGGTGTTCTGGATTTCATTTGTATTTCCTTGATCTTTAAGTTTCTTAATTTTAACGTGGCCTGGTTTGTCCATCTTCCCTTGGTAGTTCTGTTTTGCTCTAAGTCAAGGTCGTAAGAATGTTTCTCCATCTTACGTTCTTTATTGTTTTGCCTTTAGCGTGACCGTCGATTTGGGGGATGGCGTGAACTAGGGTCAGGTGTCATTTTTTTCCACACGGAGATCTAATTGTCGTGGCCCCATGTATTTAAAAGATCCTCCTGCTCGCTGCTCTCCAGCGTCTCCAGCGTCAAAAGTCTGCTGTGTGCAGACCTTGTGCGTGGGCCTGTCCCCGGGCTCTCCAGTCTCTGCCAGCCTGTTGGCCCCTGGAACCAACACCACAGCACCCTCGTCAGCATAGTTTCATACGATTTGGGTTTTTAAGCCTTTTTAAAGTATAGCGCAGACGCAGAAACCAGGAAGTAAGTGTGTGGTTTGATGGGTTGTTATAAGGTGGACGCTTTTGTGACCATCACTTGGGTCAAGAAACGGACCTCTGCTGGCTCCCCAGACCCCTCATCCGTGTCTCCCCCACCGTCCCCCGCCGTCCTGACGGAAGTAACTGCCAGCCTGGCTTTTATGGCAAGTCCGTCCTTGCTTTTCTTCGTAGTTTTGTGACCGAATCACATACCTCCAAGTCCTAGTTAAGTTCTGCCCGTTGACTTAGATGGCATTTCAGTATTATCTGTAGCTCGCCCCCCACCTCCCGTGGAAGTTTTTTGTGGTTGGGCTTGTGGTTCTCACAGTCTGGATTTCGCTGATGGCGGTCCTCCCGTGTAGTGTCATCTCTCCCTGGTTTCCTGGGAAGGGGTAGTTGGATATAGAGGTTTGATCAGATTCGGGTCTGACTCGGCAAGGCTCCTTCACAGGGGTGTTGTGGTCCATCAGGAGACACCTAACGTGCAATGTCTTTCTTTCTCGATGTTGGCAGCCAACGATGCACGGACGACATGCGTTAATTCCAGACAAGTTACAAAATGGTGATGCTCCTGCTGAGTTACTGCAGCTGCGTGTATGAGCCGGACTTCCAGTAAGAGAAACCTGTCATCGTCATTTGGTTATCTAGGGCTCGGGTTCACATAGGACACCCGAGATAAATGCTTGATTCTTCTCTCTGCCAGGTTTCAAAATAATCAATCTTCTATCTTCCTCCAAAGGTGACCAGTTGAAGATTTTATTGTTGACTTATTTATTTTTTATTTTTGAGAGAGAGACAGACAGAGCATGCAAATTGGGTAGGTACAGAGAGAGAGACAGAGAGACAGAGAATCCCAAGCAGGCTCTGCGCTGTCATTACAGCGTCCCATGAACTCAGATTTAAGCATATTAAATGCGTTTTAAAGATTTTATTTTTGGGGCGCCTGGGTGGCTCAGTCGGTTAAGCGTCCGACTTCAGCTCAGGTCACGATCTCATGGTCCGTGAGTTCGAGCCCCGCATCGGGCTCTGGGCTGATGGCTCAGAGCCTGGAGCCTCCTTCCGATTCTGTGTCTCCCTCTCTCTCTGCCCCTCCCCCATTCATGCTCTGTCTCTCTCTGTCTTAAAAATAAATAAACGTTAAAAATAAATAAATAAATAAATAAATAAATAAATAAATAAATAAATATAAAGATTTTATTTTTAAGTAATCTCTACACCCAACATGGGGCTTGAACCCAGGTGCCCCAATAACAGTTTTTACGTGTCCTTTGCAATTGAAAGTCAGTTTGACTGGGGCACCCGGGTGGCTCAGTCGGTTGAGCGTCCGACTTCGGCTCAGGTCATGATCTCACGGTTTATGAGTTTGAGCCCCACGTTGGGCTCTGTGCTGACAGCTTGGAGCCTGGAACCTGCTTCGGATTCTGTGTCTCCCTCTCTCTCTGCCCCTCCCCCCCCCACACACATACTCTCTCTCTCTCTCTCTCTCAAAAATAAATATAAACATTAAAAGATTTTTTTAAAAAGTCAGTTTGACTGGATATAAAGTCCTCGGCTCACAGTTTCTTCCTTTGAATATCTTAAATATGTTATTCTCTTCTAGCATAAACCATTGTTGTCAGATGCATGATAATTTTACTTTCTTTCCAATATAAGTGACTCTGTTTTTGGCCGGAATGGAATTCTCTTTTAGTGTTAATTGTTGGGCATGGATTCTCATCCACACGGCTTGCTCTGTCAATATGTAGGTTCACAAGTTTTACCTCGGGAAAGGTTTTTAAGTTTTCAGTGTTCTGTTCCCTTGCTTTGTCCCCTCCGACTTTGCGGGGAGGAGAGGGGCTCTCATTACGTGTGTGTTGTTGGATCTTCTCACCAGCCTTTCAGTCCATTTCTCTAGTCTTTTTTAGTCCTTTTTTTTCCGTTAAAAAAAATTATTTTTCTTTGCTGTTTGTCTTAAGTGATCATTTGTGGAGTTTACTTGTTCTGATGGTGCTTCTAGCTTAGTTTTTATTCTTTTTTCTTTTTAATGTTTGTTTATTTTTGAGAGAGAAGTTATGTAGGCAAGTGGGGGAGGAGCAGAGAGAGAGAGGGAGAGGGAATCCCAAGCAGGTTCCATGCCGTCAGCATAGCTCGAACCCACGAGCCGTGGGATCGTGACCTGAGCTGAAGTCAAGAGTGGGACACTCAACCGACTGAGCTACCCAGGCGCCCTGTAATATTTTCTTAGGATCCATAATCTCATCTCTGTATTCTCCTATCCTGACTTAGGTGGTTCTTTGTTTTATTTTTAAATATCTTTAGTTTCTTTTGAAATACATTACAGTTTTCATATAGTTTGATTTGAGGTTATGTTTTTCTGATGTGCTTTCATTATCTGTAGAGATGCTTTCTGCCTTTTTTTTTTTCCCCCAGAGAGAGAGAGAAAGAGAGAAAATGAGCAGGGAAGGGGCAGAGAGGAAGAGATTCCCAGGCAGGCTCTGTGCTGTCAGCATGGAGCCGGACATGGAGCTCGATCTCATGACCCTGGGATCATGACCTGAGCTGAAATCAAGAGTCAGAGGTGAACCACCTGAGCCCCCTATGGGGATGCTTTCTGCTCTTTGTTATTTTTTCTCTGATCCTTTTGTGAGGTTTGGCCATAATTCTCTCTATTGCTTATCGTATTAGTTTTCTGGTGCTGCTTTAACAAACTATCACAAACTTGGCTGAAATCAGTTTGGAGGTCACATCTGAGACGGGTGTCACTGGGCTTGAAATCATGGTGTTGTTGGCAAGCTGCCTTTCTTTCTGGAGGTGCTAGTGGTGAGTCTGTTTCCTCACCTTTTACACTTTCTGGAGGACGCCCATATTCCGCGGCCGATGGGCACCCGTCGTCAGAGGCAACAGGGCCACGTCACGCGGCCCTCCTTCTGAAGGCGTCACTCCCTGTCTCTCTCCTGCCTCTTCCGCTGTAAAGACCCTTGTGATCGCACTGGGTCCATCCAAATAATCCGGGATGATCTTCCTGAACTCCACGTGCAGCCTGATTAAGAATTCCTCCTTACCGTGTAACCCAGCATACCCTGTCATTCTGTCTACCACGTTTATTTTTATATAATACTAGCTTTTCTGAAATGTAAGGAGATACGACTCAGATAACGTTTTCTAGCTTCATGGTGCTCCCTCCCCTGCAGTCCTGTTGTACTGTGGGAGAAAATGTGGGGCTTCCTTTGCGTATGTAGTGATCCGTTCTTTCTTGCTGTTTTTGCCTGACTTCGGTATGGAGGTGGTGTGGCCTCTTTCTGCTCGTTCTGCTGCAAAGTATTCCATCCTCTTCTGTTTTCAAAGAATTCATGGAGTGTCAGTAGTGTTTTTTCTGTAAATGTTTGATAAAATTCACCAGTAAAGCTATTCATTGGGCCTACGATTTTCTTTGTGGGAAGATTAAAAAAAATTTTTTTTAATGTGTATTTATTTTTGAGAGAGAGAGTGTGAGCCGGAGAGGGACAGAGAGAGAGGGAGACACAGAATCCAAAGCAGGCTTCAGGCTCTGAGCTGTCCCCACAGAGCTCAACGCGAGGCTCGAACCCATGGACCGTGAGATCATGACCTGAGCTGCAGTCGGACACTTAACCGACTGAGCCACCCAGGTACCCCTCTTCTTTTCTAATACAGGTATTTAAAGCTATAAATTTCTCTCTGAGCCCTTCAACATCTAAATTTTGGTGTGTTACTTTCATTTGGATGAAAATACTTTCTAATTTCCCTTGTAATTTCTTTCTGACACTC